GATTTTTCAGTGTTTTTCTTGCACACCTTCTTCAGATCTTCCTTCATTTTATTGAAGTATCTTTGTGCAAATTTGGAAATGGTTATTTTCTTTGGCTCACTTTCGTTGAGGGGTTCTGAAGGTGCGATGAACTCCCTCATTTTATCCACGATCAGGGTCATGTCAAAATGAGACGCCTGCCGAGCTCCGGTCTGACTGGATCCAGCAGGTTGTTCGTCTTCTGAAATCTTTAAATTATCCAGGATGATGTTCATTATTTCACCTGCTGCACTTTGTGCCGATCGAGTGGGGCTGGGGGGTGAAACTTGACCACCATCTTGGCTGGTTTTTGGTGACTGTGGGTTGGACCATTTAGTGATGATGTCACATATGCTCTCACTTAATGATTTAACTGACTCTGGGGATTTTACGCAGGTGGATAACTCAGAGAGTTCATCACTGACTTTGACACACAGTTTGCCACATTTGGGCAGCGAAGACAAGCACTCTTTCACATAATTGGTTGTCTGAAATACCATTTCTCCCAGGCGTCTGATGTTTGATGAGACACTGTTGACGAAAATGGCTGGCTTTGATGGCAGACTCTGCTGGTTGGCTGCCTCGGATAGATAAGAGTGGACCTTTTCTTCAATTTCTTCTTCTGCCAGTTTAGTAAGCAGTTTGGCTTCACTGAGGGTCTCCTGTTCTGCATTAAAAAAGCTGCAGAAACTTTTGCATAAAGAGTCTCCGAGGTTGGCTTTTATAGTTGGTACAGCTTGCTCTTCGCTTTCTGTGGACATTTCTTGCATCTTTGGCAGGAAGATTTTCAACAAAACTGTTGAAACAGTCTGAACAATATCAGTCAAAAGCCTTGTAATAATGACTTCTACCTCAGGGTCCATTTCTCCAGAGGCCAGCATAGCCCACTGGGCAGCTGTGACATCTTGAAAGTGTTTCTCAACCAATGGAAGTAGATTTTCTTCCGTAATGCAGATGGTTTCTGTCTGGGATCCTTGTTGCTCCATTTTCAAGATGATTTTTCGTTCTTTGTTTGTTTTGGTAAGCAAAACTTAAACGCGTCCTCTCAGTTCAGTGAAACTTCAGAAGTGCAGTTCTCCAGAACCTAATGACAATATGTTCTAGAGCTTTGTGCGTCACATTGACATAAAGCTCACCTTATGACGTCAGACGGACCTGACGTTCCATATTGGGGGAGTGGAGCGGGAGGGGGTGGGGGGATGGGCGACGCCTCCATTTTTAAAGAAGTCGTTGATTCGATGTAAATATAACACGTGACCACTCATCCGTTAGCCCAGTGCTGAAGTTGCTAACCGATCGTTTCAGGCAATAACAAGTTACGTGTCATGCTAGTAAAGCAGTTTCAAGCCATTCAGTCAGTTTCCTCAACTTGAAACGTGTCCGTCTGCAGTATCACTGAACAAAGCTCCTACCCTGTCTGTCTCTTTCGGCACTTTAAAACCGAGCAGGTCCGAACTCTGCAGACAGCTGTGGTTGCAGCTGGTTCGAAGTGCGCTGGACTGTCCATCCCGCGCTGTCAGACACAAATGGTTGCAGCAAATAAAGAGACATCAGTCTGAATCGGTTATGGAATGAGTTATTAGACACACCAAATAAATACTTTGACGCAGACAAATGATCTGCATTGATTATCGTTAACGCTCCTTCATCTGTGAGCGTCTCACACTCCATTTATTGGTACACAATTACCACAATTTAGTGTTTTTTTTGCTCACAATTTAACGTTATACTGTTTATTGTTAAAGATTTCGTTCATGGAGAAGCCGAGTGGTATTACATATTTATTTCGGTCTGTTTTTTTCCGATTAGAGATTAGACGACTCAGAAAAATTTGTCATATGATCAGAGATGTATAAAGTACTGGAGTAGAAGCACAAGTACTATATAAAAAGTTGACTTGAGTAAAAGTTGAAGTGTCCTTTCAACGCCATACTTAAGTGGAAGTATGGAATTGTTTTGTACCTAAGTGTTTCAAGTAGAAGTATTAAAAAAAATGCTAATCAAGTATTAAAAGTACAAAATTAAGTAAAAGTACAAGTACTGTGTATGTTTTTAAAAAAAAAGGCGGTCAAAAGTTTGATATCAGAATCAGAAATACTTTAATAATCCCAGAGGGAAATTATCTTTGTTACTAACTCCAGAAATAAAACAACAGCATATACATATATACATATCTATACATACATATATATATATATACACAAAATTCCACACAGAATATAAATATATATATATAAGTAACTATATGTATATATTTATATAGGTCTAAAATAAGTGATAGTAATAATGTCAATAATTTAGTTAGAATTTACAGAGGTGGGGTGTTTGACTCTCTGAGGGAGGCGTCGTGCAGATTGATGACCACTGGCAGGAATGATTTCCGTTGGCACTCTGTGATGCATCTGGGTGAGAGGAATCTTTTGCTGAAGGAGCTCTTCTGCTGGGCCAGTGTGTCATAGAGAGGGTGTGACTCATTGTCCAATCTGGACTGAAGCCTGGACATCATCCTCCTCCTCTCTGCCCCAGCATGTGACAGCAAAGAAGATCGCACTGGCCACAACAGACTCATAAAACATCCTCAGCATCGTCTGACAGATGTTAAAAGACCGATCAGCCTCCTCAGGAAGAAAAGTCGATAGATAGATATTGTTTATATTATTTCAAACATGTGAAAGGCACACTACCTGGCTGAAGCAGCAGTAAAATTATAAAATGTCATACAGGAACAGAAAACAAAAAAACAAAACACAAAACACAAATAAAACATCTCAAAATCGACCTACTTGCATCACAAAATGCCCAAATTAACCATTATCCAAATGGCAAATTATTGCGGAATAATAGTGTAGGAATAACAGAAGTTAAACTACAGTAAAACTACATATGCATTAGCAATCAACAGCACTTCTATTATTTATTATTCCAGTGTCACAATCATGAGCTGACCCTATATGCTATCATGTAACAGGGAGCACACAGCTAATCAGCTAGGCTTGCTTTAGGTAATGTTCACTGCTACGTCCTGAGTGAACAGGAAGAACTGAACTAGCGCTTATTTACTAGCTTATATGTCATTGTATTTTTTAACTTACCTTTATATGCTTCTTCAGATTAGATGAGGAATTTTTGAAGGCCATGATTTCGCAATCGTTCGGGAGGCTTTTTTTTAATAGGCTATGCTTAATTGCTCAAATTGCCCAATGATTAGCCAGCTTCAAAAACCGTGACAGAGCTATCTACAGCTCCAGCATTAACACTACGACTTGGGGATGATTCGTTACATTTACATATCAGTAATGAGCAATGATTCAGAACGTGAAAAATCGATCGGAGTGAAAGTATTAAATTAATCAAACGCATGTAGTGGAGTAAAATTAAAAGTAGGGAAAAAATATATACTCCAATAAAGTACAGATACTGCATTTTGGTACTTAAGTACAGTACTTAGGTAGTTCTACTTTGTTACTGTACATTACTGCATAAAATTTATATCATTGCAATTTTTGTACAAGTATTCTGTTAACAATGTGGACAAGACTTTTGGTTAGTGGTTTCCGGGGTGCGTGGTAGCGTGCTGTCATGCCTGCCCTAGTCTGGGCAGGTTTTGGGCCCCTCAAACCCTGCCTGGGAGGGGGCCTCCTCATCTGGGAGGAGCCCCTCTTCTCTCCGTCTTACGTATCCCCGCACCCCTGTTTCCTTGAGGTCGGGGGCTTTGTGACTGTAATGGGTCATTGGGGGTGCTTCTTGCCCAGGGTGTACCCACTGTGTTGGGGCCAGAGGGCTGGTCCGTTTTTAACATTTTTATTTAGTTATTCATTTTATTTGGTCTTATTTATTTTTTGGTTTTATTCACTTTCTCTTCTTCTATTAGTGAGCGAGTAAGTGAAAGTGCATGGATGACTGGATGGCTGGGCCTGGGACTGGGTGTCCTCTGGTGTTCTGGGGGGATCGGGGATTGCCCCCTCCTTGCTGCACCCAGCTGCGGCCAGATTGGGCTCTGGTGCTGGCCCGCCCCAGCTGCTGTCTGGGGTTGCTTCTGTAACCGTGCTGAACTTAGCCGTGTGTTTGTTCAGCTCGGTCCAGCTCGAAGTGGCCCTGTTTTCGTCTTTTCCTCTTTATCGTCGTATATTAACCTCCGCGTTGTGTTTTAATGATGGCCACGAGACAGTATATGTTGAACGATGCCTTTAATCTGCGTGGAACAGAATATGAACTGGTCACATATGGGCTCTTCACAGTGGCAACCACACCTCTCGTGCCCGTCTCGCGTATAATAGCCAAAAACAATACATTTATATTTAAAAGAAAGACAGTAAAAAAAATAAATACCTGCGTGGAACAGAATATGGACTGGTCACATATGGGCTCTTCACAGTGGCAACCGCACCTCTACGAGGAACAGCATTAGCAATTAGCATCAAGCTAATTGTACATTCGCATTAAGCTAGCTGTTAAATTCCAAACATATTTAGTTTAGCACGGTGTTATAACAATAATAAAATGTACGTAGTACTTTATTTGCCATCAATACATCCAGCTAAGGCTCATATAATTGACAATGGCGCATAAAACACCACTGTGCTAACAGCGAAGAACTCACCTCGTGCCCGTCTCGCATTTAATGGTGGCGAGGTAGCTGTGCAAACTGCAATTATTGTGACCGACCACCAAGAGAGGGCACTGTTTCCCCATAATACAATGAGCCAAAAATGAAAAATAATGACAAGTGGAATCATAACAAATTAAACCTGTTACACTTCCCTTCTTGATTCTGGGTGGGTCCTGCTGGGGGCTCTTGGGCATTTGGGCTCTGGGTCTGGGTCTCAGGGTGGCCTGCCCCTGGCTGATCTCGTTGCTCCTGGTACCTGGGGGGCCTCGGGGTCCCTTTACGGGCCTTTGGGTGGATGTGTGGTGTCGCTGTTGTGGGCTGTCTGACTCCTGTGCTCTGTGGGGCCCCTGGTGTCTTGGGTCTTGTGGGCCCCTCTGCTGATGTAGGGCTTACATCACATTTTGTGCATTAGTGCTAGTGCTAATAAAATGTTATCTGTACGGATCTGAAGTTTTGTGCATTAGTATCATCAAGTTTGTTCCATGTTCTTATTGCTGGTGT